TTTAACAAATAGTAATAGTTTAGACAAGATTTTGGAAAAATATCGATGTTAAAAAAAAATTCAACTGCAATTTTGAGAGGGTTGTAGGTTGAGGTGTGACGTCATTTTTTTTTGGGGGGGGGGGGGGTCTGGCTTTTTGTGACGACGTGTGACGGAGCGGAGGGGGAGAGGTAAAAATCGTCCAAAAAAGCGTGACGTCATTTATGGATTACCCAATTTTAAAAAGTTGTAAGTAGAATTAAGGAATAAGTAACACAATTGGTTATCCATTATTCAGCTGATTGAAGCTCAATTTAAAAAAACAACCTCCAAAGACCTGTTTTTATTTTTTATTTTTAAAAATTTAAATTGATTTTAGTCATAGCCCTAAAGAACATCAGCTGACAGACAACCGGAAGTGTGAGTTTAATAAGAGGCCGATAAATCGTAACCAAATTATTAAAGTCTCAAATGATGATTTTAATCGAATTATAATCAATCATGTTCAAGTAAAAAAAATAATTAACATGTTTCGTATATAATAATTCAATTTTCTATTATTTCAGCAGTAAAGTTAGCTCTAGTGAAAATAAAATTTGTTACACATTATTTTAATTTTAATTTTACTTATCACATTTAAAAAATCAGACAAGTCCGGTTCGCCCAATCTCTACTTCCGGTTCTAATTTTTATCTGGAGAAAATGGACGTTGAAAGTCCAATAAACCGTAAAATATTTATACAGTTTACGTTTTAAAAAGCTTTGCATTCTTTTGAATAATCAATACGATTGAGCTTTTTATTGACTACTTGCAAATTGCAATTCATTTGTATCAATAGAAATGCATATTTATGATTCTATAGCAAACATTGTACTCTTCGAAAAGTCTCAAGTTTTGGACATTTTTTTTAGTTTTAGGGTGGGTGCAAAATTAATTAAGTAGATCTACACTTTTCTTAATCTAGTCTAGATCTAGATTATTCTAGAGTCTAGATCTTGATTGAAATAATTAATGTTGATGAGTCAAAACGCTTTGGACTTTTGTATGAACAACTTTGAATTTGTAATAATTGAGAATAAATTAAAAAGAAATTAAACTTTTAACTGAAATCTGGACCTGTCTTCTTGCTTGGATTCAACATTGAATGGATACTGACCAAGTTTTGATGTAGACTAGTCTCAAGTGCCTACTACACCTATTCTGTTGCAGCGTATTCCTATTTATTTTATTAGTAGGACTGATAGGCCTATTCCTGATATTATTTGAAGAAACACATCTCAAACCTGGTCAATGTGTGGACAATTTTCCAAGATCCAAATGTAAGTGCAGATAAGATTATAAATCTGTTTCTAGTTTCTATATATCTAGACTACATTTCTAAATAGCAAAGGCAGAAACCACTACTATTATAACTATTGTTTGGTTTGGTTTAGGCAGACAGATCTATTTACGTAGGTCTGAGTGAGGTTCAGTTTTTCAAGAATGGGTTGGGTAGGCATATGCAATGATTATCATTTCATTCAAATAGCCTATTTCTTTTCGAAGTGACTACTCGGAAGATTTTTCTCCCCAACGTCTCCACTTAGTCGGCAAAAGATAGCTCTGCGCATGCGCAGTGACCTATGGCTAGGGTTAGGGCTAGAATGAGGGATAGGATTAGGGTTGGTGTTAGGGTTCTGCGGTTGTAAACACACGCATGCGCAGTACCATCGAAAACATCGCCGCGAAGGCAAGTCGTAGTTTCTCTCCATTGCGCATGCGTATCTTATTCCGGCTAGCATCGGCCATTTCTTTTACAGTAGGCTTAGGTCTAGGGCCTAGGCCTACATCATTTTAGGCCTAATCTCTTTTGTCCTGATGGAGAACTACATAGTGTTAGTAGGCCTACTATTTTTAATTTAGGTATGAAGGTAGTAGCAAAGAGTATGTAGGTTAGTGCTTGTTACAAAGAATGAAGTGATTTTTTTAATAATCAATTTAGAATTGAAGTTTCTGGTGCTAACAAGTAAAGATGGAAGTAGATCCACCCACCTCATCATCCTCCAGTCCTGTACAAAATAATGGTAGCACTTTGAAGAGATCTAACAGTGCTCCAATGATAAATTCTCTTGTCGCATCAGAGGCTGATATAAGGTATTCATTTCATTTTTTTAAAAAATGTTTATTAAATTACATTGTCAAAACATCTAGTTAGGCCTATATTTTCCATCACTGCATTCAGTATAAAAATATATTTTAAAGGCCACATTTATGTTAGGCCTATAGTTATAAGCATAATGCTTCTACAAATTATCATACCATGACTTTTTTGTCAGTAATATATTACACTCATTAGGCTATATTTTAAGAGATTCTAGGCCTAATTGTAATTACAATTTTAAGTTAGTCTCCCCCTATTGTATTCTATTTTTCCCTTTTGTGTGGCAATGCAAATAGGGCCTGTCAATTCATTTACCCATTTTTCAATTTACATTAGTTTATGGAAGAAGATTAATGTCCAATCTATATAAAATATTTAAACTAACTACCTACCACTATGATACATTATTTTGAAAATCACTAGTTTTATGGTACATTCTTTATGAAGCTTTGTTGTATTTTATTTCAGCCCACCCGCATCTTTTAAACCTGCGACTTCAGTTGTTCTCAGACGGCTCAGCTCTAGTAACATGGCATTGCACAATGCCCCACCATCCACCAGTGTAATTATTCCTTATTTCTTTTTTACTGTTGTCCTGCTGTTCAGGATGGAAAGTTTTGGATTTTAAAAAAAAATTGATTAAAACTAAAGAACTTTTTAACTAAAAAAGGTTTTGGTTATTTTGGCCTAATGTATTCAAAATCGAATGTAAATTAATGTTTTAGCTCTAAGTTTCATTGCCTTTTAAATTCCTCTTCTAATCCTAATCAGCCTCCTATTAGAAGCACTGACCGTGTGGCTAGAATAAAACAAGAAGAAATCCACAAAGCTGATATAGAAAGGCAACATGAAAGGTAGATTTAAGTTATATTAAGACTAGCTGCATCCCGTGCTCCGCCACGGTAAATCTTTTTTAAATGTACCAACTTGGGAACAGAACAAAACTAAACACAACACAAACGAACGCAAAAAAAAAAAAAAAAAAAAAACGAAAAAACAAACACAACACTCATAACATAAACACAATTTAAATGCAATCATACAGGCATATTGCTCACAGTCTAGCCCGTAGCGCCAAATCGCGCCCTTTCCGGTGATTTGCACCCCCCTCAAACTTTCGATTTGCACCCCTTTCCCCCCCCCCCCCCCCCCCCTAAAACTTTCGATTTCCACCACCACCCCCCTCGCAAATTTTTTCCAACCCACTTTGGCGCCCCCTAAGGTCGGCACCCGGGGACATATGCCCCCCTCGCTACGCCTCTCTATAAAACCCGAAAGATAGAATAATAATTAGAAATCAGCATAAATAATAGGCAGTATTTAAAATATCCGTGTTTTACCTACAATATTTCACTTTATCCATTCACGCATTTTTTTTTCCAGTACTTTAAATTTTAAAAATGTACAATTGAGTTTCATAACTAAAACCATTGCGCACCTAATGAACGTGATGACGCGCCTATAATAGTGCTGAATAGTTGATTAAAAATTATAAGTAATAAACAGTAGGGCCTACATTCAGTGAATAAAATAAATAAAAGATTGCCTTTTATCAATCCATGCTAATTATAATTTTCTAACAATAATTTCCTCTTACACATCCGAATAATTTGCATTCACATTTTGCTAATTATATTATTGCAACACTAATTCCTTCTATGACGAACGTATATTTGCATTCACATTTTTTATTAGCGTGAGTTTAATGTATTTTTAAATTACCTCCTTTGTCAAAATTAGAAAAGAGTTAAATTAATTTGATTTTTCTACCCTACTGTTATTATGTTATTAAAATGTATCCACTTTTTCTGGGAAGCTAAACGAAAATGATATTTGACATTAATCTTTTTAATACGTTTTAGCAGTTTGCGTGTATTTAATATTTTCTTGACGTTATGCGAAAGAGTAAAAACCGTGGCAATTATAAAATAGCTCAATGCCGCTATATAAACAAACCCTACTCTATTACTTGTAATAAGACACTGCGGTGCACTGAAAAGCACAGCATGGTGCGAATGTTTACTTTTATAGTCCCAAAATCTATAGCGATGACGGAAGGAAGGACTGACACACTACCAGCAGCGTTATATTATAGATTCTATTCTTGTACATTTTTCATTCACTGATAATTATAAATATACAGGTTTTAAAATTATCTAGATTGTGTTGCTCAAATTTTAAATAGCTTAACTTTGTCCATTCTTTAGAGAAATTCAGTCATCATTGTGGATATCTCAGAATTGGGAAAGTCTTTCATTTGTAAGTTGTTTTTTTTCCCATCATCACTCTACATTTGTTTTTGCAAAACAGGCATTAGTAGAATTAAAACATGTCTGAAATTTTTCTTGTCTAGTATGCATTAAAAAAGCTGATAATGCAAAAATCTCAGTAACCATTTTAATACATTAAGATATACATAGAGATTTTTCATCATGCATCCACTTTTATTAATAGTAGTTCTTAAATTGATTTAGAGCAAAGCTTTTTACTAACTATCCTTTTACTTGGCCGGGAACACTGTTAATACAGTACTATGATTTTTCTCTCATCATAGTATAATATTAGATTAAGCTCAAACTGTTTCGGCAGTTGAAAGAGCTCGTGTTAAAGTACAAATTGCTACTGTTGTCTTTATAGGACAATTTTTTTCTCTCTTAAAAGAGAAACTTCTAAAATAAGTGGGTTCATCTTTCTACTTGTTCCATCATAGGACACATCAGAACCCATGGAAGGGCAGCAACGTCGACCTCGGTCTTTCAGCGAGTCCCTTCACATTATGACCCCATCTAATATCTTGTGTGGCTCTCCTTCCCCGACTAGGGCTGCAGCTAAAGTGAGTTGTTGTTTTTTTTTTTAAATAAAAATTTATATTTCAGAATATTAACATAGAAGTAACTTTTATTGGAGACTTGAGTTGGTGTGATAAATACTTACTACTGCTGTCTATGGTTATTCGTTTTAAAAAGTTCCATAAACTGCAGTTGTTGAGTGTAACATTACTTGATGTTTCTCCTTCACAGCAATGCTTCTCACCCTCCATGCAGATACCAGTGAAAAATACAACCTTCACCCCTTCACCTTCTCCTAGCCCAACTAGGAAAAGTTTCCATAGGTAGGTTGGCCACATGGTCTAGTGATGGTTTACATTAGGGGTCATCCATTTATGACGTCCACACGCAGGGGGGGGGGGGGTCCAAAATCCAAAAAAATTGTGGACGTCATAAATGGATGACTCCTTAGGTCTAGTGATGGCTGGCCCTAGGTCTAGTGTTGTGATAGTGTTTGTACACAGACAACATGATATACATTTTTTTTATTTTCCTGTTTTAGGAGTCTGAGTCCCATAGCTGTGAGAACCACTGTGTCTCTAAAACGTAAACGTAAGTAATTCTTATGTCCAAGATCAACGAACATGTATGTCTCCTTTTGAGATTCAGTTTGGCAAGACTTCTCTGAAGTCATAATGTGTTTTTTAAATTTGTGTAAAATGGTTCCAAGAGCAAAAATTATAAACATTTTAATTTATTTGTAGGTATCTCAGTTTATTTCACAAAATAAAAAAAAAATTCTGCACACAATTTAAAACAATTAATTTAAATGAGAAAAGAGCAATAAAAGGCGATCTTTTTCTAACATTCAGTTTCCTTTTTTTTCCATCACTTTTAGTAAGTTTTAAATGTCAAAACAGTCAGAGGTTAAATTGGGAACTCTTTTAAAAACATCTAAATGTAACAAAGCCCTTCATAATATAATAGGCTTATTATCAGTTAGTACATGTAGTATTAGTATAATATATAGCAAAACATGGAGCTAGCAAAGCTAACTTTAGTAGGTTAACTGTAAGTTCAAGTCAATGATATTAGAAAAGGCAAAGTAGCAGCCACGATTATGTTCCTAATAAATAATACTAATAATGGTCGCAAGACTTAGGCATGTCTGATTTTAAAAAAACTATATAGAAAATAAAGAAGTTTATTTACAAAACGTTTTGGTTTTTTTAGTGGAAAATGATGGGGACAAGTGGGACTACATCAGCCCTCCAAAAAAGTTCAGCACAGGGGCAAGTACTCCAGATAGAATTATGACATGCGTACATCCTTTGGCAAATAGGTAAGTTCTATTATGGAATTAAGAAATTTTAAAGAAAGTATTAGTATTAAACCTCTCAGTCACCGAACAGCTTTCCAGCCCCAAATCCTGCAATAAACAACATACCATTTTCAGCATCGCCTAATGAATGGAACTCTTCCTATTAATAATTTTTTAAATGCCTATGAATAAACATTAAGTCTCAAGGCATTTACAGTAAAAAAAATTTTACTTTTTAATAGCTCAATATTTTTTAAATTTTTTTAAAAATAGTGGTTTCTTTACCTGCAGTTATTTGTTTTTCATAGACTGCTAATTGAATTGCTAATAATGATTATGAATTAGATTGTGAACTAGTAGATATTAAAAAAGAATTTGTTAAAAATATTGATGCTCTAGGCAGGATTTGAACATTTTTTCATCTAAATCTCTACTTATTGATTACACTTAATCTGAATGCATTTGTGCTGATGAGTATGAGCCATTTTTCAAGGTTTTTTTTCTCTGCAATTTTTTTATCTGATACTACTTTATAACTGGATTAAAGATTAATTTTTAATAGATTTTTAAAGGAAGTGAGTTACGAAAAATGAATGCTGTTTATTCCCTTTACTTGGCATGAGGGTTTTTTTTTAAATTACAAGCTATAGTACTTAGAGGGTTAATAATTAATAAGAAAAAAGGATAGCTGAATTTTTTTGTTTATTAGTTGAAGATTTTGTAACTTTCCATGTAGTTAATTTGTTCTCTCTCCTTAGCATATCTAGCAGCAGTTTAGAGGTGGATGGAAGCAATACAGATCATCCAGTATCCTGTACCAACAGCATTGGCTCTGGTATAGTGCATATGCACAGATCCCCCATTGGGGGCATGACATCTCTCTCAGTTACAGGTGGTGGTCACTCTCCACACTCCCCCCACACAGTCAACAGTATAGGTGGTGCTGCAGTCGCTGGTCTGATGCCTGCCAGCAAGCAAGGATTTTTGTTTCAACCTGTGTCCGAGGCAATGGGCTCCCCTTCATCCACATCATCCTCCTCGTCATCAACCCTGTCCATGCATCAACTGCACCCATTGGCCTCTAGTCACATGTCGCCCCAGCAGCCCGCACGCACACACTCATCCATGAGTAACGATGGCAACAGCCACAACAGCAATGATATTTACATGAGTGATACTGAAATGAGGGACCACTCTGAGATGGTCGCCAAGCCACTGGAGGGCTTCAATTCCCCAGACAAACCCTCCCAGGGGTTCAACTTTAAGCCCATTAGACCGGACTACACATAATGTGATTCAAGGACTTCTCAACTGGTGGCTGTGACTTGGACATCTATACTCTACCTTTTGATATTTCCATTCTCTTGTGAAAATCAAAACCATGAATAAACTCAAGTTTATAGCTTTGTTTTACAGTGGAACTTGTGTTCTCAGGTGGGTTTAGCCAAAATATAATAGCTCATGTGGTCAAGGGCCATAATGTGTCACTGTTCTAACTCATTTTGACCACAGGTCTTGAGATATTGTTTTGGTTTTGTCTTATGGTGTTCACTTCATTGATAGTTTGATGTCCATGTGGTATGACCGTGACCCTTTTTTCCCTCACAGACCCATGATGTATCATCATTCTCTGTGCTTTCATTCAATTTGTACATGCCTGTTGTTTTGTTTATATATGCTGTCTTTTGCACCCAACATAAGAGCAGTAGCACAACAGACTTTTTTTTGGTCATTGTTTGTATGGATGGTGATAGTCTGATCCTGCATTTATCAAGACTTAACGCAGTGGGCAGTGGTCAGTTGTGTTATGTTCTAGTCATTCTTGGCTGTCCCAAATTATGCTTTGTTTCACATATAAAAGATTTATATTTGTTGTATATCAGGGCTGCGGATTCTGTAATATTTCCTTAGAGTAGATCCTCAGTAAGGCAGAAAAAGCTGAGAAAGCAAAAAATAGGTTTAAAAAGTGCAATAAAAATCAAATGGCATTTAATCAACTTGAGGGGTTCACATACAATATAAGTTATGCCATTTTTGTGGGTAATGTTTAATAATTATCTACTTTCGGTGAAGAAATAAAATGTTTTGTTTTAAATTTTGTTCATATCTGCATTGAAATCTGTTGGTAATTATTGATCACTGGTATATAAACACAATCTGTTTCCTTTGTGATCTGAGTCTGCATATTCGTTTCAAACTTTTGAAACTGACTAGATTCCGCAGCTCTGGAAATATTCATTGTTTTTTTTTACTCCATGAAAGATAAGATGTCAGAATGATGGTAAGGAACCCTGGCTTGATGTATAAGTTCAGGGGGATGATAGAATCTGGCACAGTATCCCTGTACAATGCAGTTTAATACCTGTGATTTTACAGCTGAAAAAGTAAAGGAAGTTCATTATATTAAAGAGCAGATTGGCTGATCTCCTAATTATTGTGATCTTTGAGCCATACACTTGCATTGTCCTATGCCAAAGCTATATGTGTTGCTCCATTCTGTTGAGTGTGAGCTATAGATTTTGTATATTTTTAAAACACTTTTTCCGTGTCCTCAAGAGTTTAAAAAGAGTGATTCTTATCTTTTATTATATTTATTGTATATTACAGCAATGTAATTTGAATGCTATCTGAATTTATCAATGTCATAATTATTTTAAAGATACATTTTATTTTGAATAAAAGATGTAGCATTAGCTAAAGCTTAAGGCATGTGAGCCAATTCCCATATCACATGCTACATACACGTGGGTGTAAAATACTGTTGTAACTGTCAACACACTTGTACATAGGTGTATATTTGTTGATGTGTAAATATGTTGATATCACCACCCCTGGCTATTGTTGGTATATATGGGCATATTTTTTTTTAATTCAGTTGCCGTTCTATGCATTTATTTGATAGCTTAGGTTTTTACCGGTAAATTTGTCTTGTTTACAAAATGGAAAGAAACTGTCTTGACTGTCCATGTGGCTCAAATAATAATGAAAAAGTATTAACGGAATTAATCAGCATGTACAAGTTTTAAAGCCTAGTTCTGCTGGATCAGTTCTATTCTTTTAATCTTCAATTTTTTAAATGGAACTTTTAAAACTGAAATTCTACATTACTGATGAATTCAATGTGTGCAGCTGAAAGAGATTTTGATACAGCACATTTAGTTTACACACTGGGGTATAGGGGGCATGTTAAAGTCAACTGTTTTGGATTTGTTCTATAAGATTGAAAAAATTTGATATTATGTTGGTCACTTATATTGAAAACTAATTGTTTTAAATTGTGTGCCATTGTTATGATGTTTTAATCATGCCATTTTAGAGGTCATTTTAAAAATGTCATTTTCTGATTTCTTGTAGGCGTGCTCACATAAAGAATGCATATTCATGTTATAAATGTTTTGTTATATACCATCAACACTGTTGCTAGGTGATAAGTAAACTCATTTTCACCAAGACTTTGTCTTTTCTCTTGTTGATTACTCTGTTGTAAGATAAGGGTTGGTCAAGTCAGTGCTGTTGCCAAAGTGGTTCAGGTGGAACCCAACTAAAGTTACCTCCCTTAATTTAAAAAAAAAGACCCACTTAAAGTTAAGCAGGTGCCCTCAATAAAAAAAACACTTTTCATGCCTCTTTGGAAAAAAAAAAAAAGTCAAGCAATTTTTGTGCTTTCCACTTTTTTTTTCCTTATAAATTATATATTCCCATATGTGTGTTGATCTCTTATGCATGACTACACCATTCATTAGATCACCATTTAGCTGAAACTGGGAGGTTGTTGAGTTGGCTGTAGCTAAAGTTTTTAATCATCTTAAGCTATCTTAGCACATGGGGTCAGGGCTACTACATAAATCAACAGCCAAATAGCACCGGGCGCGTCCTATCTAGGCTGATGGCTTTGGACATCCCCATCAAACTGAAGAGGGATTAAGACTGGTCTGTTAGTTTCATGTGTTTTAGATGTACCATCACTTTCTGAGGTTGAAAATGGCAATGACTTCGTAATTATTTTATATATATATATAATTCTCTTCTTGGATACCCTAGAAAACACCAAGCTGTAAGCGCGCCTAGCAGCTCCCTCTCTTCCTCTCTAAGTATATACCTACCGCCCCCACCCCTACATGGTCTGGTGAGCTGTGGTTCATGCTAAATGTTTACAATAGTAGAGACTGGTTTAGTGACGGCTATTAGGGACAGATAATTTAGTTTGAAACGATTTTAAACTTATGGGAGGTAACCAAGAGGAGGCTGCTTTCACGGGGGGGGGGGGGGGGGGGTATCGTCCTTAACGACCTACTGATAGTGTTTTAAAGCAAATATTTTCAGTGGCAGCATTGGTACTGTCGAATTCACAAATAATGAATTACTGAAAAATAGAAAATAAAACAACTAAATAGCGGCGTATGATACGCCGCGGGTCGGCTTGTTTCCATTATTAAAATGAGCATGTATTTTTTTTCTTATACTCCCATTAGACCAAAGCAAAATAAATCGCCCGATAAGGGACTTGAACCCTTGACCCTCAGATTAAAAGTCTGATGCTCTACCGACTGAGCTAACCGGGCTGCGTCGAATTCAACAAAAATTGTACAAAGTTTCATAGCATTAACCAAATCTACTGCAAATTTTCATTTTATAACTGTGAAAATAATTCTTCGTATTAATATCTTTAATTCGAATCGAGTTTGTCTTCGCTTTACCTGATAAACATTTATTTTTCTTTAAAAAAGTCAATATCATACTTTAAACTAGGTTGAAACAATTACGATTGCTTTTAGTCTATATTTTTTCACAGTAGTCTCCCCTGTGCTAGCAGGCGATGTAGATCTACTTATTTAAAGAAAAAACAAAAACATTTAGGATAATATTGATTTTTTAAAGATCTATAAAAAAAATATAATAGCTTTCTTTTTTGGTAAACGTTCCAAAATAAAGTTCGGCCTACTTTGATCTAGATCTAGCCTATATTATAGCATGATCATAGGCTACTCGTACTCGGTCTATTTAGGCTACTAAAAATGTGTAACAAACTTTACATTTGCTCAAGGATTCTATTCATAGATATCTCTGGATTTTAAGACATTTTTGTCATTTATTAATTAAAAATTTAAAATATAGGCCCTACACATGGCCGACCAAACTCTTAACGGTGTGAGACGATTGGGGGGGGGGGGGGGGGGGGGTGAGAGAGGTAAATATCTTTTATGAAAGCGTGACGTCGTTCATGGAAGATCCCCTGGATCTGAACAACTAATTGCCTATTAAAATATTAGCACTCTAAAGCTCGAACAAATATGACATATAGGCTAATACTTTAGCTAATTAAATGATATGTTAAACTTTTGTAATGCAGAGAAAAAACTGAATATAAGAGTCTAGTACTGTATCCCTAAAGTAATTTCAGACTTGGAAACTATCAAAACCAACCCCAGCTTTTTCCTTTTACTTGTCCGAAAAGTAGACTAACGTTATTTATTCAAGTAGGCCTAGGCATATAAAGCCAACTCTTTTTCTTTTACTCGCTTTCGGAAAAATTGCCTACCTGTACGATAAAAAATAATTGGGCGTAAAAAATTTGCAATGTCGAAATCGTGAGATTTCAATTATGGACCGCATCGAGTGCAGTCATATATATATAAGACGGCCAAAGTCTTCGGGCTTTGACCGTAACATATATATATATATATATATATATATATATATATATATATATATATATATATCATAGTAACAAATGGATTTGACCGCTAATGTTAGAATGTTTGTTTCTGTTTCCCGTTGTCTAGTCATACTGAGCTCATGAGTGGAGTAATTAGCCAGGAGTGATAACAACACGCAGGGGAGATAACTTCGCGTAGGGGAGATAGCCCTTACAAGTTGTCTTCTCTTGTTTCTTCGTGTTTCTTCGAGTGAGCCAAAAATAGAAATGTCCCTATTTAAATACCGTCGTGTCACATTTAAAGACATTAATAGCTGATTACATTTTTTCACCCCAAAACGACCATCGTCTTCCTCTATTTTCCTTTCTCGAATACAGATTATCTATTTATGAAAGCAAAGTGGTCAAATGTTGGTACATCTCTAAGGAAAAGTATTGCAATCGTACAAGAAAAAAAAAGGGGGGGGGGGGTGTTACAACTTCCAGCCACCTTCTCAAAAGCCTTCAGAATTTGAAAATCACATATTATATTCTCATAAAGCAGCATATTCTAACAACTGCTCGAATCTACGTATTCTTATAAAAAGTCACCTTTCTGTAGCTTTATTCCGCTGGAAGTGCTATCATTATTTCTTCCAGACTTTTTTCTCCGGAGGGGTGGGGGGGGGGGGGAAGGGGGGCACTTGGTATTTTCAAGGGGGGGGGGAGGGGACACTGATAAAATTATATATTTTCTACATAAATTCCATTTCGTTAGGGGGCGGTAGACTTCATTGGGGGGGGGGGGGGGGCGAAGAGATGCCTGGAAGAAACTCTGAGTGCCATGTTATATAGAAGAAAGTATAGGGAAGCTTACGAGTTCTATTTGTGTGGATTTACACGAGAGCAAGTTTTTATCTCAGACACTGGCTGTCTACGCCCCTGGTTAGTGTTAAGGTCAGTTAGCCAGACCTTGGAGTCTGGAGCATCTGCCAGAGTCGCCCCTGGCAAGTCAAACGTGTCTACGATTCTCGCAGACGACTCGTCTGATAAGACAGCGGTAACTGGATCCGTCTTGGCAAGGCGCCCACGATACCATTGGGTTGATGCTTACGATACCTGTGTTTGTCAAACACGATACCAGTCATTTGAACTCACGCTGTCACTGACTGGTGGTGACGATACCAGTGGTTGTTGGGGCCTACGATACAATTGATTAGTGGCCACGATACCAGTGGTTGGCGATCACGATACCCGTAGTTTGTGTTTACGATACCAGTGATTACAGCCCACGATACCAATGTTTGGAGACCACGATACCAGTGATTGGCGAGCACGATACCAGTGGTTTATACACTGATGGTCCAGTTGCCCCTGGTCATTGGTGTCACTTGTTTTGATGACATCGCCGTGTCCATTCCGTCGGCCGTCACTTGTGTGTCTAGCTAAGTGGTACTGGTCTCGAGGTCCGAATATATTACGTCATGCTGAGTTTCTGCTGTGGCTGAAGTCTTTTCACTAGGTGAGTACACACGGGGGGGGGGGGGGGGTGAGGTTTGGTTGCCGTGTATCATACGGGGTCCAGAGTCTTGATCCTATTTAGGCAGGGAGAGACACACGGCCGATGAGCTGTATGGACGGCCTAACCAGCTATTGGACGGTCGGTCGTATGGACGGCCAAACCAGCTATTGGACGGTCGGTCGTATGGACGGTCTGGCCAGGTGTATGGACGGCCTAACCAGCTGTATGGACGGCCTAACCAGCTGTATGGACGGCCTAACCAGCTGTATGGACGGTCGGTCGTATGGACGGCCTAACCAGCTATTGGACGGTCTGATCATCTGCATCTAGTTAACATCAACAAGCTTTTAAGGAATAAATGTAAACCTGATGTTTATGTAGTGCAATACAACTGATCTAATGACAATGTTAATGACAATGTTAACTATGTTGATTATGTATCAATGTAATATTTGTGTTGACGACACTACTCTGGGAAAACAAAATGTTAAGAACTATTTATAAAAACAAAGTCAATCTTTTCGTGGATTACTATAGTGGTGCCTCCCTCTACAACTTACAGCGAATGTTTCGTGATTTCTAGAAACATCACCAATTTAGATATTCAGTTTAACAGCCGAATAAAATAGATCAAGATCAGAGTTGAACAGTTTTGAGTTCCGAATTATTAAAAAAAAAAGTTTATTAATTCTACTTAAAATGTACACAATATTATTGAAAATTTCTATTATTTGCAGGTTTCTGTAAAAAAAAAAAAATAGCCTAAAAAAATCAATATGGACTGTCGATCGTTGAAAAAAGGTATATCGATCATTGGCACCGGCGATTTTGGTCGTTCGATTGGTAAAAGGCTGGTCATTACTGGATATGACGTCACTTTTGGAAGTCGCCGACCGGAAGTACGAAATCTGCGGGCCGACGATAAAGTTTTCGTCAACACTGTTGTGACGTCAGTGGGAGAGGCTTTGCGCAAAAACAGCATCATCGTATTTGCCGTGCGAGCTATTCACTTTGAAGAGGTCATCTCTAAATTTAGAACGGACCTTTCCGGAAAGCTAATAATAGATGTCTCAAACAAATCGAGACGCGACAGATACCTGACGTCAAATGCGGAGATGTTGCAAAATCTTGTACCGGAAGCGACGGTGGTGAAGGCGTTCAACGTCATTTCCGCTTATGCCATGGAGGCGGATTTCGATGGAAGTTCAAGGTTGGTCCCTGTGGCTAGCAACAGCTGCAAGGCTCGCTCGAAGGTCAAGGACATTGCTCGGTCCATGGGGTTCCAGCCTTTTGACGCCGGGATGCTGACGTCATCAAGGGACATTGAGATGTATGTCCACTGGCTGTTCCCGAAGTGGCAGTAAGTAATCGGTAGGGGTGAGCGGGGGGGGGGGGGGTGGATGGGTGGTTGAGGCGTTGTGGCCGGGTTGGTGGGGTGGGTTTGTGGATGGAGTTGTGGGGTGGGTGGTTTGATGTAGTTGGTGAGGCTGTGGATGAGCAGATTGGGTGATTATATAATGTGTGGGTGGTGGGTGGGTGAATGGGCCGGCCGATGCATGGGTGGGTGTGGTAGGCTGAATGGGTGGGATAGGCAGGGTGGGGTGGCCGTATTTGTGGAGTTAATGGACGGGGTTGTTTTGATGGTCTGGGAGAACAACGTGCACTGTGTGGGGTAGTGTTGGTGGGTGGGTGAGTAGCTCAATAGCTGGGAGTGGTGCATTTAGTGAGTGATGAGATGATTAGACCACCCACTACCATTTAATTCAGCAGCTGAAAGTTGCGGTGTTCCTAAACATGCTCTGTGCCTGTAGTGGTAGCCTCGACCTTTGACCCCTGGCGTACCTTGTTGTTTTAATATAACTTGGAAGACATACTTTGTAAAGCGTGTCAACATATAACCACTTGCATTCCTCCTCCCTCCCCTATGTTCAAATATTTTAAAACTGCACCGCAATAGAAGATCAACATGAACAGACGCCAATTTAGGCGTTCACTAACACAACCTGTGGGGATATACATACATACATACATATACATATATACACATACGTGACATGTATGCATGGATTTCAGACGGAAAGAAATCCCTTAGGTATAATGTCTGATCTATCTCTATGTCTGTGTGTTTGTCAGTTAGACTTGTAGTAGTTTTAACACGCTAACCTGTATGATTGTTGTCATCCGATTCTCTCCCCCCCCCCCCCTCCCAATAATTCCTCTGCAGTGTTTCTTGAAATTTTCGTGGGGGGGGGGGGGGCGGACACTGTTAAAAGTATATATTTTCTATATAAATTCCATTTCGTTCGGGGGGGGGGCGGTAGACTTTTTATCAGGTGGGGGGGGGGGGCGTAGAGATGCCTGAAAGAAACTCTGTTCCTCTGGCATTAGCAGGACGAGAGAAGTCTTGTAGACCTAAAGAATCTCTAAAATCTGACCGACTCAGCAAATACCGGCATTATAAAGTAAACCACTGCGTGTAACCTTTTGAGGTTTTTTATGTTTGCCAGACTTTGAGCTAACATGACAACGAGACGCGAGTTATTCAACCTTGTCCTACATAACGACGTCACACTTACGTCACCAGATCACATAAAGATAGATCTACATCGACAATGTAGGCTACACAAGCAGCAAGTGCACACTCTCAAGGGTCACGTTTTTGGTTGGTTGATCTTGCCAAATGTTAGGGTCACGTTTGTGCTTTGTTGATCTTGCCAAATGGTAGGGTCACGTTTATGGTTGGTTGATCTTGCCAAATGTTACGGTCACGTTAGTGGTTGGTTGATCTTGCCAAATGTTGGTTTGTGGTTGGTTGATCTTGCCAAATGTTAGGGTCACGTTGAAGTGTTGTAATGTTCCTCATATAACAGCGGCACTGTACAGTTCCTACAAAATCACGTTACGGTCTTGTTACCTGGTTACTCACAAGATAATGTTTATGTTTTATCCCTCTCCCACACACACCATGTTCACCACAGGATCACGCTAACACCATGTTCCCCACAGGATCACGCTAAATTCTTGTTCCCCACAGGATCACGCTAAAGTCTTGTTCCCCCCCCCCACAGGATCACGCTAAAGTCTTGTTTCCCCCCCCCCCCCACAGGATCACGCTAAAGTCTTGTTCCCCCCCCCACAGGATCACGCTAAAGTCTTGTTCCCCACAGGATCACGCTAAAACCATGTTCCCACAGAATCACGCTAACACCATGTTCCCCCCCCCCCACAGGATCACGCTAACACCATGTTCCCCACAGAATCACGCTAACACCATGTTCCCCCACAGAATCACGCTATCACCATGTTCCCCACAGAATCACGCTAACACCATGTTCCCCCACAGAATCACGCTAACGTCATGTTCCCCACAGGATCACGCTAACACCATGTTCCCCGCACAGGATCACGTTAACACCATGTTCCCCCCACACGATCACGCTAACCTCTTGTTCCCCTCGCCAGGTTCCCGATCCTGCTAACAGTGTTGATCATGATCACGTGGTGGCTGCACGTGGTCTATGTCTACTACGTCCAATCAGAAACCTACACGTGGGAGCAGCTCTTCGTCAAGGTCTCCAATAAGCCGCTGGCTATGACGGCTGTCACCATTCTAAGTAATACATCATTTCCGTTAGGTGGTACCCAACAACGTCTTCAGGGTTTCTTTCAGACATCAGGGGGGGGGCAGTTGAAACTTCCTGGGGACGAACACTTGCTAAATTATGTTAAAGTATAGTATTCTCTACACTATTTAAACAGTTTTTCTATTTCTTTTGGGGTGGGGGCCTTAGAAGTGACCAGGGAGCGAGTGTGGATGGGGGGGGGGGGGGACTCTTATGGTAATTTTATTGTTATGGTCCAACATTTTGGTTGGTCGTTGCCATGGTGATAAAACCCGTGTGACGATCATCATGGCGGCGGTGATGTCAAACATGCACCAGAAACCTTGTATTATATCTTAGACGCAACAGCCTTATCTAATGCTGTAGTTTAATTAACTGTAGGTAATTAAAATATTAGCAGGTAATTTTATCAACGTGAATACTGGCGGTGGTGGGGGTTTGGTGATATAGTTTCAACACAGTGTTAGCTGTGGTTCGCTTTGACCAGTCATAGAGGCATCAGGGTTTACTGGCGGAGTCAGTATTCATAGGGGAGTCAGTTGAGTCAATTTTCTGATTAGAGAGACATTTTCGCAAATATTGTGATAGAGTAGTCAGTTGAGTCAATATATACGGGAGTCAATTGAGTCAAAATATAGAGGAATCAGTTGAGTAAATATACAGGGGAATCAGTTGAGTCAATATATACGGGAGTCAGTTGAGTCAATAATATTAAGATAAGGGAGTCACTTGAGTCAGATTCCAATAGGCGAGTCAGCCAAGGCAGTATTCAATAGGGGAGTCAATATCAGTCGAAAGAATAGTTTGTCCACACATATGGTCCATTGTGACATGGAATTAGTACATTTATTTCGTATTTAAAAGTCAGAAAAATGAACTAATATTAAGGATTTTTATCTCAGCGATCCTTTTTTTTCCCATGACGTCACATCCGCCTGTACTCTATTTCCCCTAGGCCTGACCTACATGCCCGGATGCCTGGCAGGGTTTCTCCAACTGAGGAACGGAACCAAACACCGCCGGTTCCCCTGGTGGCTTGACTCGTGGCTCAAGGCGCGCAAACAGCTGGGCCTCATCTGCTTCTTCCTCGTCTGCCTGCACGTCTGCATCTCCGTGCTGCTCATGAGCCCCACCTACTTCCACTCGTGGTTCCACGGCACGGAGCACGACATGCACGGGCATCACGTGCACAATGGGACGCAGCCCAAGCCGGATGTTGAGCCATGGATGACGTGGAAGGTAATTTAAATAAGTATTTAAACCCTAACCCATATGAAAGGGTGACGTGGTTAGCCCTATCGCCCAGCTGCGTTACCTTTTTCTAACATGAGAGGTACCCATTAGTGCTGGGTGGCTCAAAGATGTTCTATTGACTTGAACCTGGATTCGAACACGTGACTTTCGGTTCTCAGACTAGCGCTTTACCGCTAGGCCACAGACAGACAGACAGACAGACAGACAGACAGACAGACAGACAGACAGACAGACAGACAGACAGACAGACAGACAGACAGACAGACAGACAGACAGACAGACAGACAGACAGACAGACAGACAGACAGACAGACAGACAGACAGACAGACAGACAGACAGACAGACAGACAGACAGACAGACAGACAGACAGACAGACAGACAGACAGACAGACAGACAGACAGACAGACAGACAGACAGACAGACAGACAGACAGACAGACAGACAGACAGACAGACAGACAGACAGACAGACAGACAGACAGACAGACAGACAGACAGACAGACACAGACAGACAGACAGACAGACAGGCAGGCAGGAGGGCGGGCGGGCGGGCGGACAGACGGACAGACAGACAGACAGACAGATACATGTATATATATCGTATATTATTTACTTCCTCACAGGGTGAAATCGCCAGTCTCCTGGGTATCCTAACTTACGCCCTTATGTGTGTACTTGCTGTGACGTCAATACCGAGCGTAGCGGAAACTCTCAACTGGGTCGAATGGCATTTCATCCAATCAAAACTCGGCTTCTTCGCTCTAATTTTAGCCGTGTCCCACGCGTGGGTGATGGGGATTCCCCACTGGGTGGAGCACACGAGCCCCAAGGAGCTGCTCCTGTCCATCACCTTCATGAGCACCCTCCTGCCCGCCTGCGTCCTCCTGATGCGGTTCACGCTGTGTCTGCCGCTGATCCGCCCGCGTCTGAAGAAGATCAGGATGGGCTGGGAGAGCGAGACGGTCAGAACTTCCGCTTTTGCCAGAGTTTCGAACGGGGAGGCGGGGCTTGCGAGAAATGGCCAGGTTTTTCAGAAAGTTGAGGCCAGGGAAAAGATGTGCCCGTGTAGCAGCGACCAGGCCGCATCCGACTGCTGCAACTACTCCAACGGCGAGTACTGCTGCTGTGGAGACCAGGGACTGGAGGTCAAGGTCAAGGCGTCCAGCTGCTGCCAGCCAACGCCGGTTAAAAATGGCCACCAGCTTCCGGTCACGTTACCAAGGAGCGTGGGGGCGACTCCCCTCCACCCCCGCCCCGTGGAATCGTTCGAGCAGACAAGGGTCAAGGTTCATCAAAGCGCGCGTAAGGGGGAGGCGGGGAGACCTGAGACCGTCTCTCTTGTCTGACAAGACTTATTGAAATCGTTAGGGTGGGGGGGGGGGGGGGAGACGGGGAGACCTGAGACCGTCTCTTGTCTGACAAGACTTATTGAAATCGTTAAGGGGGGGGGGGGGGGAGACGGGGAGACCTGAGACCGTCTCTCTTGTCTGACAAGACTTATTGAAATTGAAAAAAAAGGGGGAGGGGGAGGTGTACTGTTTGTCTCGTCTATAACTACCAAAATTAAAATGAAAAATGTGAAACAAAAAAAAAAATGGCCTAATCATCATTTTTTTTTAAATTTATTTTTGTGAAATAGAAACAATGAATTCTTAGAGCGATTATATTTAGTACTAGATTGTTTTATAGAAAGTTAGCGTCTGGGTGTGATCAACTGTAACCACGAGAAGACGGGTATTCCTGTGTTCTAAAAATAGCTCAAAGCGAATCGCTGAATGTCAAGTTTATCAATACTGGCTGAGTTTATTTGGTGGGCCAAAATATTTATCTCGAGCCGCTGTTTACTGGAAGCTTGTCAACCGTTAGGTGGGCGTGGTTCATGTTTTCTGGGGAGTCGTTGATTTGGACGAGGTAGACATGTATTTAGGTGTTGTAGACATGTATTTTGCAGTGATAGACATGTATTTAGGTGTGGTAGAACTGGTCCGTGTATGTCCGACAAGGTCCGTGTATGTCCGACAAGGTCCGTGTATGTCCGACAAGGTCCGTGTATGTCCGACAAGGTCCGTGTATGTCCGACAAGGTCCGTGTATGTCCGACAAGGTCCGTGTATGTCCGACAAGGTCCGTGTATGTCCAAAAAAGTCCATGTATGCCCTTTTAAATTTTATAGCACTGCCTCGAGTCAATAAACTCTTTAGCTTTACGAGTCTTTTAGTGTCACCATGTTCGCGAATTTCAAGTTCTAGTCTACTGGTTCGACAACTGGGCCAACATTCAAGGCCAAAGTTTACCAGACCTAAGGGCCCATAAAGTCCCTCTACATTTCTCGAACCATAGGGTTCGTCTAAACAAGGCATTTAGTGATCAGCCATTGCAGGTTGGCCGTCAAGATAATCCAGCCATTGCAGGTTGGCCGTCAAGCTAATCCAGCCATTGCAGGTTGGCCGTCAAGATAATCCAGCCATGGTTGGTTGGCCGTGAAGCTAATCCAGTCATTGCAGGTTGGCCGTCAAGATAATCCAGCCATTGCAGGTTGGCCGTCAAGATAATCCAGCCATTGCAGGTTGGCCGTCAAGCTAATCCAGCCATGGCTGATTGGCCGTGAAGCTAATCCAGTCATTGCAGGTTGGCCGTCAAGATAACCCAGTCATTCCAGGTTGGCCGTCAAGATAATCCAGTCATTGCAGGTTGGCCGTCAAGATAACCCAGTCATTCCAGGTTGGCCGTCAAGCTAATCCAGCCATTGCAGGTTGGCCGTCAAGCTAATCCAGCCATTCCAGCATGTTCCACATTCCCACTTGAAGCAAATAAATGTGTCAATGTATGCCAACAGTCTTCAATACATATGTTTATTTAAAGTATATTTGCATTTTTTCTCTATAAAGTCAGAAAACAACTTGTTTCACTGTTAGTATAAAGTTATTTTTCTTTAACTGCTAGTGGTTATAAATAAGAGAGCAATGACCACACTATCCAGAATCAGATGACTTCAACTGACTCATGCATCGTCTGTCATAAAAGTGGACGATTCTTTGACTATGATACAAAATTTTTAACTGCTGGTGCTGATATACACGTCTTTAGTCGCTACCACTGTAAGCTGTTGTAAACAACGAAAAAAAAAGTAGGTCACATGACGAAAACGAGGCTAATTATATCCTTGTTGTCCCTCCCCACATGAGCGACTTAAGGCCTATGACCGTAGAATGTAAACACTATGTTTATAGTTGGAGGATTTAAAAATAATGTTAGCGTGGGGGCCACATACAAGGGTCGGCTTTACAATCTCTGAACAGGCGCTGTCCTTAGGGCTTTAAACTTTGAGCTCAATGGACACGGTCCATATAATGACGTCATTGGGATCAGAAATTGATTTTTTATTTGCTAAAGAATTTAAAGAATTTGACTATCCTTCGCCCATCCAAGTTTTCAGCTTCCTACGGAGATGATCATATGTGGAGACAGACCTAGACTAACAAAGGCTGGTCCTGTCTGAACAAACTGCTTTTACACTCAAACATAGACATTCTTTAATGCTAACACGAAGTTACACGTAGATCTAGATGCACACACACACATACTTATAGACACAACGGATCAACCGATCTACCGGAAACAACCCAACTTATTTTAAAACTGGGTTGGTGACTTTTGCTATATTTAGTAACAAATCGGGTCCGGCTGTAAACAATGCACGAGTTCTGTAGCGGAAGTAAATTGCTTATCGTTTGCCGGGACGTTTGCTCTTATCTCCCTTGTTGGTAAGGGTAACGGGGGGAGACATCAAAAAATTAAGACATTTATCTCTGCTAGCCTGAGTAGCATATACATGTGTAGTAGCATATGCCAGGTGTAGTAGCACATATCAGGTGTAGTAGCACATATCAGGTGTAGTAGCACATGCCAGGTGTAGTAGCACATAGTACATTTCAGAGGTAGTAGCACATATCAATGTGTAGTAGTACATATCAGGTGTAGTAGCACATGTCAGGTGTAGTAGCACATAGTACATTTCAGAGGTAGTAGCACATATCAATGTGTAGTAGTACATATCATGTGTAGTAGCACATGTCAGGTGTAGTAGCACATGTCCGTGTTTGTAACACACATCAGGTGTAGTAGCATATGCCAGGTGTAGTAGCACAGTCAGGTGTAGTAGCACATTTCAGATGTATTAGCACATATCAATGTATAGTAGCACATTTCAGGTGTAGTAGCACATGCCAGTAGTAGATGTCTGGTGAAGTAGAAAACTTTATGTGGTGTGTTGCTTAGATGAGTATTGATTCAACGGCTATTTCATAATCAAGTGTAGTCATCTTTCTTTTATTTATAATCATTTTAAAAAAGATCTTTCCTACATCATTGTAAGTT